ACAGCAATATGATGGATCCTCACTCCGGCAGCAAGAATAATTAACGCTGCTATGTGCAGCGAGGTCCAGAGAGGTGGCCATGATATTTAGAGTTAATTAATCTTTTCATTTTTTGTGAGATCGTGAACTTGCCTTTTAAAGTTTGGGCTATACATACACTTAAATCTAGCAGGGTTTATTAGTGGCCCTACCTCTCCTTTATTTCAACAAATAACAGCAAGCAAACATTTTGGTCCTTTATTATTTCTTAAATTTGCTCATCAAAATAAATGTTTTACATTTTACTATCTATAGATGGCTATTTACTAGAGATGAGCGAATCGAACATGACGAAGTGGAATTCGTTTCGAAAATTAGGAAAAATTCGATTCGCGCCGAATCCGAAAATTAGCAAACTTTGGATGCACGAATCGAATTTTCCCAAAAATGGCGGCGACATGTGTGGCGACGGAGCGGGGGATCTCTGGGAAGGCGCGCAGACAAGGCGCGCTGACCCATAATGCATTCATTCATGACATGTGATCGCATTAGCCAATCAGCAGCCAGCCAGCCAGCACTGTGTAATGGTGGAGCTATAAATCGCGGCCATCTTAGAATTCTCCATTAGCCTCCGGTCATTCAAGAGAGACAGACCTGTCTGTATTAGGGACAGAGTTAGGGCCACAGAGACTTTAGGGCCACAGAATCGTTACTCAGGGCCACAGAATCGTTACTCAGGGCCACAGAATCGTTACTCAGGGCCACAGAATCGTTACTCAGGGCCACAGAATCGTTACTCAGGGACACAGAATCGTTACTCAGGGACACAGAATCGTTACTCAGGGACACAGAATCGTTACTGAGGGACACAGAATCGTTACTGAGGGACACAGAATCGTTACTGAGGGACACAGAATCGTTACTGAGGGACACAGAATCGTTACTGAGGGACACAGAATCGTTACTCGGGGACAGACACAGAATCGTTACTCGGGGACAGACACAGAATCGTTACTCGGGGACACAGAATTGTTACTCGGGGACACAGAATCGTTACTCGGGGACACAGAATTGTTACTCGGGGACACAGAATCGTTACTCGGGGACACAGAATTGTTACTCGGGGACACAGAATCGTTCCTCGGGGACACAGAATCGTTACTCGGGGACACAGAATCGTTACTCAGGGACACAGAATTGTTACTTTCTGCTTCACAACCACTATTGAATTAAAGAGTATGTCAGACAAACACGCAGAGGAGTGGCAGAGGAGGCAATGTTTCAGGAGCGAGCAGACGTGGCAGCAGAGGAAGGGGTCGAGGCAGCACTATTCGCAGCCAGAGGCCAGTGCTCCCGGTGTCATCCAGCGGTCGTGTCTCCACCGACAACCCTGCCGTCATCGATTGGTTGACTCAGTCGTCTTCCTCTTCCCAGGTCACTTCTGACACCTACAGCCAACGGTCGGTGGGTACGTCAGACACAAACCGTTAGTTGGCATGGCCCGGGAGCAAGCCCACTGAAATCACGTGTCATCTACCTGCCCCTGTCCTTTGGTGTTCCCTCACCAAGCGAAAGTATCGCATGCTGTGGGCTCAGCCCCACTGTACAGTGAGGAAGAGCTAACAGAGGGCGATCAGGAACGGGGGGAGACATCCGCCTCTTCAGCAGCCAGGCGAAGAAGTACTGGCGAGGAGAGTGGCTCGGTAGCCGGTCTAGAGACAGGTCTGTCTCCTGACCCACACGCAGCCGAGGGGGCTAGTAGTGAGGCGGAGACCCTAATTGATGATGATGGGCTGATCGCACTTGGCAGCCTCGTCGTCATCAGGCTATTGCTTCCGCATCATCAGGAGAAGAGGGTGCCAGCTTGGCAGCGAGCAAAACAGTCGGTGGGTTGCCCAGGAGGCAGCAGGGTCGCAGCAGTGTCAGTGGAGGCAAACGGCCACGGAGTAGAGCACCAGCTCCACTGCAGCCCTACCACCACGGCCAGTAGTGGTGCCGGTGTGCACGGAGGAAGTAGCAGTCAGCCAGTGAGGAGTAGCGGGGGCAAAGTTTCCTACTCGGCGGCGGTGTGTGGCAATTTTTCGTCAAGCCGCCCGAGGAAGTAAACGTAGCCGTATGTCGACTATGTGGCCAGAAAGTCAAGCGTGGCCAGGGGGCCCATGTTGGGACTACAGCGTTGCGTCAGCATATGCAGCGTCGCCATTCGGTGGCTGGGAAAACCATGTTAAAGATACGGCGGTTCTGCCTGCCTCAGCCCCCGCTCCATCACCCGCTCCGTTACTTGCTCCGTCACCCGACGTCAATCGCCCTCTATCAGCCAGTCAAGGCTCCAACACCTCTGCTGAGGGGAGTTGTCGCTCGTTGGCATCTTCCGCTCGTTCAGATGCTCCTTCTCCTGCTACTCCTCTTCACGGATTCCGTCATCAGTCTTTCTTGGAATCCGTTTCCAAGAGACAACAGTTTGCGAGCACGCACCCGACGGTGCAGAAGCTGAACGTCCTCCTGTCCAAGTTGCTGGTGCTGCAGTCCCTCCCTTTCCAAGTGGTGGACTCACTCAGCACCTTTCCGAGAAATGATGGCTTGTGCCGCGCCGCGGTGGAGAGTGCCAAGCCGCATTTCTTCGCCAAAAAGGCAGTGCCAGCCCTGCATTCACATGTAGAAGAGATGGTGGGCCAGTCTTTGAGCATGTCGGTCTCTGCCAAAGTGCACGGCAGCGCCGACGTGTGGAGCTGTAACTACGGTCAGGGACAGTACATGTCATTTACGGCCCACTGGGTGAACGTGGTGCCGGCACAGCCGCACCAGCAACTTGGACAGGTCACGCCGCTTTTGCCTCCACGTTTGCACGTCCTTGGTCCAGCAAAAGATGTCCGCCTCTACCACCTCTTCTTCCGCCGTGTCCTCAGCCGCCACCCCCGTGCCAAGTCCCATTACCCGACCAGCATATCACATGTGCAGGGCGCAACGGTGTCACGCTGTGCTGCACCTGGTATGCCTTGGCGAACGTAGTCACACAGGGGAGGAACTTCTGAGTGTAATGAACAGAGAAATCGACAGATGGCTGTCTCCGCGCAACTGAAAATCGGAACCATGTTGACCGACAACGGAAAGAACATGGTGTCTGCTCTGCGTCAAGGAAGGTTGTGCCATGCGCCATGCATGGCTCACGTGTTCAATCTGGTTGTCAAGCGGTTCCTAAAATCCACCATCCCACTGCAAGACATCCTTAAAATGTCACGTAAACTTTGCATGCATTTCAGCCATTCCTACACGCAAAGCACACCCTCCTTGAGCTGCAGCGGCAAGAAAGGAATTCCACAGCATCGCCTGATCTGCGACGTTGCAACAAGGTGGAATTCAACCCTACATATGTTAGACCGCCTTTACGAACAGCGAAAGGCCATCACCGATTTCCTGATGTTAGAAGCGGATAAAGGTACTCCCCTGTGCAACTTAGATGTCAGCCATTGGCAGCTCATGCGTGACACCTGCCGCTTGCTCAGGCCCTTTGAGGAGGCCACGCTATTCGTGAGTCGGCAGGACTATGGGATGAACGACGTCATTCCTCTGTTGCACGTCCTGGAACAAATGCTGTTAACAAATGGCTGGTCAGGGTGCGGTAGACGTGGCGCACAGATCTCAACGCCACATGACCCCCTGTGGGGGCAGGACAGGAAGAAGAGGAGGAGGTAGAGGAGGACATTGGTGCTCAGGAATTATTGAGTGAAATGGGTGGTTTTTCCACTCAGCGGACAGGAGTGGAGGAGCAGGGCAGCATCTGGTAGAGGAGGAGGAGGAGGAGACAGAGGACCCAGACGCACCATGGCAGTATGCTGTGGAGATGGAGGCAGGGAGTCCCTCGCATTCCTTGGCACAAATGGCCCATAGCATGCTCGGTTGCTTGCGTAGCGACAGTTTCCGAATAATAACCATCAGACAGAGGGATGACTTTTGGCTGTCCACCTTGTTGGACCCTCGCTACCATTCAAAAATGGTGGCCTTTTTCACACCTGCTGAGAGGGAGGCCAAAATAAAGTACTATAAAAAACCACCTATGTAGTCAGTTGGTCTCTGCCTTTCTGCGCCAACGTCCATCCTCAGACACTGTGTGCCCTGTGCGCTCGCGTTCCGCTGCCATGGCAGCAGGGGAGGGGTGGGGTGGTAGGAGCAGTGGCAGCTCCACCAGCAGCGGCTGCCTCAGTCTGCAGTCGATGATGAGTAGCTTTCTTCACCAGCGCAGTGAGGAAACTACTAACCAGCCGCAGCAGCAGCATCAGGTGGACCTGGAGCAGGACCTCAAACAACAGCCTTGGGCCTACTTGGACAGCACCCTGCCAACCGAGGTAGACAATCCCCTTGACTACTGGGCAACGAAAAACTTGACCTTTGGCCCCAACTAGCTGAATTTGCCCTTTGAAAGGCTGTCATGCCCGGACAGTAGCGTGGCATCGGAGCGCGTGTTTAGTGCGGCAGGAGGAGGGTATTGTAACTCCGCGGAGGACACGACTGTCCACCCAAAGTGTGGAGAGACTCACGTTTGTGAAAATGAATCAGGCGTGGATTAGTCTGGATTTCAAACCACCAGTTCCTGACACAACTGACTAAATCCGCCATGAATCATGCCCCAAACATGTTATTAGGGACAAATAGGCCGCTGTCTTTACAACTTTATAATTCATGCAGTATATAGCCCTATCGGCCACTTTCTGGCATCCAGTTGCTGTAGCCCCCATCACCACACTGTGCCACCGGGCCCCTGTACCGCCTTCTCATACTGCTGCCAGATCCATCCTCTGCCATGTGCGTCTTTGTCGTCTGCTCACGCTGCTGGGTTCCAGTTTTTAAACCTAGGCCTGTGTTTGGCTTCCGAATACTGCTGCCTCCACCGCCACCATGCGCCATGTGCCTCTGTCGTTCTGCTCACGCTGCTGACGGCTTCCACTCTTTAAAACTAGTCTTGTGTATGTCTTCCGAATACTGCTGCCTCCACCGCCACCCTGCGCGCCATGTGCCACTTTCAGGTCTCCTTACACTGTTGGTGGGTTCCATTTTGTGATAGGGTGCTGTATGGCCTTCCATTGCTGCTGCTTCCACCGCCACCCTGCGCCATGTGCCTCTGTCGTCTGCTCACGCTGCTGACGGCTTCCGCTTTTTAACCGAGGCCTGTGTTTGGCTTCCGAATACTGCTGCCTCCACCGCCACCCTGCGCCATGTGTCTCTGTCGTCTGCTCACGCTGCTGACGGCTTCCGCTTTTTAACCGAGGCCTGTGTATGGCTTCCGAATACTGCTGCCTCCACCGCCACCCTGCGCCATGTGCCTCTGTCGTCTGCTCACGCTGCTGACGGCTTCCCGCTTTTTTTAACCGAGGCCTGTGTTTGGCTTCCGAATACTGCTGCCTCCACCGCCACCCTGCGCCATGTGCCTCTGTCGTCTGCTCACGCTGCTGACGGCTTCCGCTTTTTAACCAAGGCTGTGTTTGGCTTCCGAATACTGCTGCATCCACCGCCACCCTGCGCCATGTGCCTCTGTCGTCTGCTCACGCTGCTGACGGCTTCCACTCTTTAAACTAGTCCTGTGTATGTCTTCCGAATACTGCTGCCTCCACCGCCACCCTGCGCCATGTGCCACTTTCAGGTCTCCTTACACTGTTGGTGGGTTCCATTTTGTGATAGGGTGCTGTATGGCCTTCCATTGCTGCTGCCTTCACCGCCACCCTGCGCCATGTGCCTCTGTCGTCTGCTCACGCTGCTGACGGCTTCCGCTTTTTAACCGAGGCCTGTGTTTGGCTTCCGAATACTGCTGCATCCACCGCCACCTGCGCCATGTGCCTCTGTCGTCTGCTCACGCTGCTGACGGCTTCCGCTTTTTAACCTAGGCCTGTGTATGGCCTTCAATTGAAGCTGCTTCTGCTCCGCCACTCTGATATTGGACTCTTGATAGTGTCTCCCCCACGCTGCTGCTGGGGGGACTTTTTAACCTAGGCCTCTGTATGGCCTTCAATTTTAGCTGCTTACGCTCCGCCACTCTGCCATGGGCCCCTGTACCGCCTCCTCATGCTGCTGCCAGGCCCGTAATCTGCCATGGGCCCCCGTACCGACTCCTCATGCTGCTGCCAGGCCCGTAATCTGTCATGGGCCCTGTACCGCCTCCTCATGCTGCTGCCAGGTCCAGAGTGTGTCATGGGTCCCTGTACGGCCTCCCATTGCTGCTGTCTCCATCGCCACACTCTGCCATGTGCCACTTTCAGGTCTCCTCACACTGCTGGTGGGTTCCATTTTGTCATAGGGGTGCTGTATGGCCTCCCATTGCTGCTGCCTCCACCGCCACACTGTGGCTCCACACTCTGGTTTTGGCCCCGGTGACTGCCCAAATGAGTGAAGTGTGCGGTGATTCTAAGATCGACGGCACTCATCTGCATGTCATACTGAGACTGACAGTATTATTTTCTCTTCCCCTCAGCAGACTCCAAGGGCATTTAAATTAAAGGTACAGTGTTCTGCACTAATATAAAGGCTCTCTGAAGCTAGAAACACCCTTTTTATAAGTTAAATTCGCAGCGAATATATTCGCCTCGAATCGAATTTATTCCGCGAATTCGGCGAATCAGCCGAATCGAATTTTTGAATAATTTGCTCATCTCTACTATTTACTTATACTTTGGCTAGAAGTAATTTCATGTTAACCAATTTTTAGATGTACCAGAAGGTGGCACTGCAGGATCTTGCAATAATTACTTACAGCTGGGAAAAGAAACCTTACATGGGAAATGAGGTCACCTTAAAGCATTAAAACCCAGGACCAGGGGCGGACTGACAACTCATGGGGCCCCCGGGCAGTAAGAGAAAAATGGGGCCTCCTGTTCCCCCCTACACTCAAGCCACACCCACAAAAAACAACCAACCTACATATTGAAGCTCAGCTGCATAAGAAGGGCATTTAAATATTTACTGCAGCAAAGACTGCATGAATGTTCCCGGCTACTTTTCGTAGAAGCCACTGGGCACTTCCAGGTTTAAAAATGAAACCATAAATAGTGATATGTATCTAATATACACATGCGTGCCGCGCTCCATATAAATAACAAAACTAAGTATATCAAGTGACGGTGATAGTAACGTGAAAAACACAGTGCTTTATACAAGTGCAACATACACATGAGATGTGTGAAGATTTGATCCTGCACGTTAATATATGACAGTCCTCTTTACACTTCTTTGATTTATTCCAGTGATAAGTGAAGTATATAGTGCCACACTCCTGTGCTCTGTGAATGGATGTGCGCTCACCTCCTTGTTAGCCAGACAAGCTGGCTAGACACACTTTTTGTCCTCACTGGACAAGCTGGGGATCTTTGCTTTACTTTCGTGCCTCCATCCAGTACTGGGTTACCTAATTGCCACCAGAGGTCTCCCTCCTTCCACACTGGGACCTCAATGGATTTCTTATGGGGATGGTGTGAATGGTTTATTTCCTCTCATTTGTGCCATGTAAAAGACAAAAAACCACCAATGGTGCCTTATCCTTTGTGTGGCCAGAGCCCATTTATTGTAAAAAGATGCCACTCACATTTAAAATCCAACTGTACTGTGGTTAGCCGGCGTGTATATCCGTCCTGTGTTGTTGGCACCGCTCGTTTTCCGCAGCGTAGTGACGTCAGAGCCCCTCCCCTACGCGTTACGCCACAGGGTCACGTGGCTTCATCAGGGGGATAATACTAATTCGTCACTGCGCTCTGCTCTCTATATATAGAGACAGCCGGCGCCATTTTTTTTGTAGTCCGCTTGGGCGCGGCCATTTTTCCCTTGGTCTATGTGCACCTATTCATCTCTGATGTGTATGAAACACATCAGAAGTGATTGTCTCGATAACGGATATGGTGTTCTTTGATCTGACTATATTGTCACATTGTGCCAGTCCCCAGGATCATGAGACACACGCAGCTTTACAAATGGGTAGGCTTTACTGCACTAACCCCAAAGACATGATAATAACATTTTAAAAACATTCTATATTTTATTTAAATATGTGCATTTATAAAATCATGTTACTATACAGTAATCCCTACCCAAAAAAATGTTTAAATATATGTGCCTAACATGTGCCATACCCTTGTAAATTACTACAATATTAAAAATTACACAAACATGTGATATTAAAATGCCTTACGCTATAAAATATATATGTGGATAAAAAAAATATATATTAAAATCCATATTAGTATCAATCCCAATACCCAATGAGTCATAAAGGGCCCGTATATGCGCCTCCAACCCCCTAATACCTTATTCTGTATCCTTTCTTTATTAGTACTCCTAATCGTATAATACTACAACATCCACTATGTTTTATCCTTTTAATGTGTGTGGGAAGCCATTTCCTATATTCCAACTACACTTTATAAAAAAACAAGCATTGATGGGGTCCTATCTATATCTATTATTATTACCCCACTCCACGTGCTATTTACAAGTGGATGATAGTTTTAGGGTCCCTATAGGGGTGAATATCCTATACTGCTCTTTACATATTACATATTACTGCTCTTTACATATTACTAATAAAGCACGTTAGATCAAATTCTTTGTTCAAACCATATGGGGCCATGCATTTCATTTCGTAAATCCATTTGGATTCTTTTTTACTGATCTCCCGTACCAGATTATCGCCTCTCCAATGTCTGTTATGCTTCTCTATACCCCAGAATTGTAATTTGGATGCATCTTTGTTATGGCATTGTCTGAAGTGGTCTGAAACATAGTGGTATTTGTATCCTCTATTAATGTTGTACACATGCTCCTTAATGCGTTCTTTTAACGCTCTTTTAGTTCTACCAATATATAAGAGGTTGCATGGACATTTTAACGCATACACCACTCCCTTCGTTTCACACGTTATTAACTGTTTGATTTTATACTCCTTGTTATTGTGTGTATTAGAAAATGTAAATCTCCGTCTCGGATTAGCTGCGACTAATGTTGTTGTATTATACGATTAGGAGTACTAATAAAGAAAGGATACAGAATAAGGTATTAGGGGGTTGGAGGCGCATATACGGGCCCTTTATGACTCATTGGGTATTGGGATTGATACTAATATGGATTTTAATATATATTTTTTTATCCACATATATATTTTATTAGCGTAAGGCATTTTAATATCACATGTTTGTGTAATTTTTAATATTGTAGTAATTTACAAGGGTATGGCACATGTTAGGCACATATATTTAAACATTTTTTTGGGTAGGGATTACTGTATAGTAACATGATTTTTATAAATGCACATATTTAAATAAAATATAGAATGTTTTTAAAATGTTATTATCATGTCTTTGGGGTTAGTGCAGTAAAGCCTACCATTTGTAAAGCTGCGTGTGTCTCATGATCCTGGGGACTGGCACAATGTGACAATATAGTCAGATCAAAGAACACCATATCCGTTATCGAGACAATCACTTCTGATGTGTTTCATACACATCAGAGATGAATAGGTGCACATAGACCAAGGGAAAATGGCCGCGCCCAAGCGGACGTTACAAAAAAATGGCGCCGGCTGTCTCTATATATAGAGAGCAGAGCGCAGTGACGAATTAGTATTATCCCCTGATGGGAAGCCACGTGACCCTGTGGCGTAACGCGTAGGGGAGGGGCTCTGACGTCACTACGCTGCGGAAAACGAGCGGTGCCAACAACACAGGACGGATTATACACGCGGCTAACCACAGTACAGTTGGATTTTAAATGTGAGTGGCATCTTTTTACATGAAATGGGCTCTGGCCACACAAAAAGGATAAGGCACCATTTGGTGGTTTTTTGTCTTTTACATGGGCACAAATGAGAGGAAATAAAACCATTCACACCATCCCCTATAAGAAATCCATTGAAGGGTCCCAGTGTGGAAGGAGGGAGACCTCTGGTGGCAATTAGGTAACCCAGTACTGGATGGGGCACGAAAGTAAAGCAAAGAGATCCCCAGCTTGTCCAGTGAGGACAAAAAGTGTTGTCTAGCCATCTTGTCTGGCTAACAAGGAGGTGAGCGAGCACATCCATTCACAGAGTGCACAGGATGTGTGGGCACTATATACTTCACTTATCACTGGAATAAATCAAAGAAGTGTAAAGAGGACTGGTCATATATTAAACGTGCAGGATCAAATCTCTTCACACATCTCATGTGTTATGTTGCACTTGTAGTAAAGCACTGTGGTTTTTTGTCACGTTACTATCACCGTCACTTGATATACTTAGGTTTTTGTTA